TAAAGTGGCCAGAATGTGAACTTGACCACTCACCTCCATCTATTACTAAAGTTAAGATGTTTCAAACTATACCTGTACTTCCCAATACCTCTTCATGGTATGATGCCTGATTAAGCACCAGGGAAAACTTTATCTAATGAGTGAGAAGTGGAAGGTAGTAGGGAGAATGTGCAACTAAATGAAGTAAATCCTAGCACAGGCTTGTAAGTTTTAAATGAACCAATCAGTGGGCATGCTTACACAAAGTAGAAGGCATATATTAAACCAACTGCAAGTCTTAACATCGGGAAAAGTTTATTAATTCACTTATCCACACATCTAAGTCATGTTGATATCAGTTAACTGACAGTTGAAGTAATTAATTTATGAATGATCTATTAATACCCCTTCTTCTGTCTATACCTTTGGATTCATTTCTTTGTTTTTCTTCAGTCTGTAATACTTCTTGTAAGGAGAACAGGTTCAGTTAAATAGCAACACAACAAAATTAAAGAACTCCATGTTTGTAGAATATAAGTTATTTGTCTTACAGGATACTTTAGTTATAGGAAAGTTCAAAACATGAATTAAGGCTTAATCTCCTTTTGAATTTAAGTTGAAAATGTTTTTAATAAACATATTTCTTCAAAACATAAAAATGGATAAGCCAAGAAAAAATCTGATTACAGAAAAAGAAATTTGTAATGTGTTGCACGCAAACATCTTTGGGAATAATAACAGTCAATATTTTAAACTCATTTTACTTTATATTTAATGTGAAATGACACACCTGAATAACAACCTGTGGATGCAAATAAAATCATAATTTAATACTGTGTCAAGGCAGAATTCTACTGAGGCAGTTAAAAAAGCAAGAAGGCTTGCACGTGCTGAGCATCTTTCTTGCAATGTAATGCTCTGTGAATTTTGGTCCATTCATCACAAAGACATACAAACCACTTAATAATTTTGAAAGTTTCTTCTCTCCAAGGTGCTCTCTCTATCTTGTGTACCAGTATAGAGAAAATGCAAATTTTCTGTGCTGAGTATTGATATAAAATTTAATTCAGGCATAAATAATGACAAAATATCATGGCTCCACACAGAAGTTGTCTATGATGGTGGAAATGTTCATGCTGTGACATTATGCCAACTGTGTGCATAAATGTATGATGTCATTTTACTGTAAAACACTGTAGAACAAATTAAAATGCAGACATAGCAAAAGTGACATGCTTTCCAAGTCAACATAACCCTGCTTAGATCTGGTGTATAATCATCAAGAAATCAGGAAACAACATACTTATCTCCCTTGTCTGAATTTGTCACCATGCTTGTGATGTATCGTGTAATTTGGATCACAGTGAAGTCAGAAAGTTCTCCTGATGTAACTTTATCATTAAGCTGGGTTGCCAACATGGCAAAGCTGTTCAGATGTCTTCCATCAGAAACTAACAGGCGGAAACGGTCCGAACCAGTTGTGCTACTGGTACCAGCTATCTTCTTGTGACCCTGGGTAGGCAATGTAAGAAATACACAATAAGGAACTTAATGAAAAACACATCACTTGGTATTGTTAGGATATAGAAAAGCGTGTGGCTAAGACTAGCAATATTATGAATGCATACAGAACTTTGGCAACATTTTGAGAAACATCCACTGAAAGACAAAGGAGATGATACCATTACTTAGCTTCATGTAAATTAATCTGACCCTGTAGGAATTGAGGTTTTCACAGCAGTGACTCCAAAGATTCCCATCTTCTGGCTTGTAGCCATCATTAAGGCGATGAATCACCCTAATGATGGAGGCAGCATGGACCTCTGAAACGTTGTTAAACATCTACCAGACTACAGGGCACTACAATCCAGAATGCAGCCATCTTCTCATCCAACCCTCTCCACCTATCTGCTCAACTGTTCCTACTGAGCACATGTTTAGATTTAACCCACGAGCTCTCAATAATGTTATGTTACAATGTCCTACAAGGAGGCGAACATGGATTTTTAGTATTTCAAACACTGGGCGATCATCCCCTGATGATGGAGGCAGCATGCGTCACTGAAACTAGGTAAACTACCGAAGTACATGGTGCAACATCCCAGAAATCATCTGCTTATAACTCAAATTACAATGCAGATACAATGGGCTTGACCAGTTATTCTCACTAGATATGAGAAAGTTGAACGCGACTTACCAGAATCTGCATAACTGGATCGTCGACATTGCCACCAGCTAGTATAACCTATAAAAATAACGTCTATTAGAGAACTGTTTCATAAATGAAAGACATATTTACCTGTAACAGTGATTACTTACTGAAAGAGCACCTTCAGATAGCTTGAATGACATTTTCTTCGTCCAGACAGTACCTTATATAATATAACTTCTTCATACAATGCTACTACGTTCTTTAATTCCCAGAAAACAGAAACACGAGAAGATCACATAAACACAAAAGTGGCGGGAACAGGGATGGCAACACAGTTAACAGTTTTCGTTGTTTTAAATCACAGAATTCAGATGTTTGGATTAAACATTACAGTGACAAATAGCAAACATTCTTATTGCTTCACTGTTATCAAAGAGTAACCAAACAGTCTACCTGACCAATTAACTAACCAAGCAGTCTGTTAATACTAAAAATTTTGTTATCGGTGTACTGGGTGCATAAGCTACCCAGCATAGAGAGCATCGTTCGTCAAAATTTCTCGTTCACAGGAAATAAGTCTGTATCACACTCTGTGGGACAATTGTGTTTGTCGTAGGTGGATTCCGCTTGCAAGCGTACCAAATCCTGTAAAGGATTTTCAACTGTGAGTACTACTTTGCCGCCAAACACAGATATGTTTTGCCAAGGCATTCCAATTTCTGTATGTGGAAAGTATTGACTTTGGAGTGAATTGCCGTTTTGCATGCTGTATTGCATATTTTCATTTGTGTAGAGGTACATTTGTATCTGAAGAAGTGTATTAGAATCTATTTGCTATGACGGAGATGAATACCGTACTTACTTCTCGTCTGCGAAAACGAAAGGTAACTATGGGATGTGAGATTTGAAGTTTTTGCGGCATGAGTATGGATATAGCTGTATTTTGCTCCGTGTAGACTGACAGAAATTTACCGATGTTTCAGAAGTATTCGCTGCTTCCATCATCAGGGCTATGCAATGTTGATATAGAGTCACAAACCAGGAGGCCACTGTAAATTTTCACCACCATGAAAATGGCAAATTCCTTAAAGAATAAAATATTTTGTTTTCTTATATGCTGTAAAAAATATTGAAAGGATAAGAAATATATATTAAATTACTATCTACTGAACTATACCAAGACTTGTTAGTATGACAATTTCAAAAGTATGTGTTTTCTACATTTTTTGTAAATATTTTGCTGTTGGCTATTAGGTGGCCCTGAATTAAAGAATGACTTTTCATTTCTGGGTAAGAAGTAGACATGTAAAAAATTGTGAACTGTGTAGATGACCTTTGGCTTTAAAGGGTTAAGTCTGAGGGTCAGGCAGAGCATTTGAAGTTTCAAATAAGAGATGTGACTGCTCCTTTAACAATGGGAAGGAAAATACTATGATATGTATGGTTCAGTGTTTAAAAAATCAAGCAATTGCTGATTTTGTTTGAGCTGGGCAATTAGCAATATGCTGTGATTGTGTCCACATGAATATTCCATCCTACTTTCAGAAAATGATGAGCAAGAAGAAGCTTGAATGTAACATACATTATAGTCACGTTCTGTGAGGAGAGGAAGGTTTGTAATATGAATACCACAATTTATAAAAATGGCCTAGTGTTGACTGGTAAATTTATAGATGTAGACATGTATCTGGTTTATATCAGTTTCATTTCTCTAATGCTGGCATATTACTTATAAATAACACATGACTTCATCTTTTAAATAATTATTTTCTTATCTTTTATGGCTATTTTCCCACCTTTTGAAGAGGAAGTTCATATAAATAACATAAAAATTTAGCTCTCACCTCAAAGAAAACACAAATCTTCATCATAAAGATCAGTTAATTAATGCTGTTTCAGGAAATAATCACTCTTTGTTTAAATAATTATATCAAACACATAAATACACTATGGGAAAATACAGAGTGACTGATTAAGCACGTGGTACTTATAATTACCACTGTTACCATCACATTGTGTACTTGCTTTTTCACTGTATTATTAGGTAAATTGTACAATCCGTCCTTGGAGGTGCCTTTTTTTTGGCTACATAACAATGGCATGTTGCTGTACTGACTCCTAGTCTGTGCACTGAGTGAATTTTTTGTCTGCAATGTTTGACCTTTTTTCACAGATTATTTCTTATGGTGATTCAAGTCTGGTGAAGTTTGAACCCACTGAACATGAACGATTTGTTAGCATTAATAGCAGGGATGAGTCGAAACAATTTTCATTGTCTCTTGAAGAAGATGGCGTAGAGCTTACTGAATATGAATTAGAAAGACAGAGAAATATCGAAGAACGTAAAAGACTTTTGGGGTAAGAGGAGTGTGTTGATTTATGTGTTGTAAGGTCTGTTATATTACAATACAGTTTTGGTAAAAGAGAAGGTAGCCATTAAAAGTTGTTTTCTATATTTGGTCAAATTAATCATGTTTATTTATTTATTTGTGGCTTATTTAACAATGCCTTTAACAGCTCCAACTATATGATGTCAAATGATAGAATAATTAATGGATTCAGTTGTTTTAAAGGGTACGGAAGAAGGCGATCATAACCTCATTTAAGACACTGTCCCAACATTTGTCTGTAGGGGCTGAGGAAAATCATGATAAACCTTCTAAGGGCAATTAGTTTCTGTGCCAGAACGTGATCCTGGGACCTCCTGAATTCAAAGCAGGAGTGTGAACCATTTAGCTATGTTTGGTGTCATTTATATGAGAACATTCAGATATGAAGGCTTAAATGAATTACAGCATCCATATTTCATTTTATTGTTTAATTTAAAACTTATGAATTAAATATACAGTTGTTACCTACTTCCTTTATTAAATTCTTGTGTTATTCTTTATTTGTGTAATTGTACATTTCTGTAACAAAATATCACTTCTGTGCAGTTCAGGAAACTTTTGACATTTGTACTTTGTGTTTGTTATTTGTATGGAAATAGCATATTACAAATTAATTGAAGGAAAATAATTTTTCTTTAAATACAGAGTTGAAATTTGATCATTGCTCTTCACCAGATTAACATCTTGTAGAATGTCTTTTCGCACCCAATGATTAATTTTGTTTTGTAGTGTTGCAAGTGTCATTGTCAGAAGCACACCTCATTTATTGTTTGCTGCTGATTATGGTGTGGTTTTCAATTCTAATGGTTATCAGTACATACAGATACTGATTGTTCTGTTTTGCCAAACAAAATTTTACATTTTACAGAATTTATCAGTTCCATAATATGTAACTTTCCATGATTCATTGTGTCTTTTTAATGTTTTCCATTGATATTGAAGTGCAGAAAATACCTTATACATTCTCAGAATTTCCTACTTAATAATGAATTCTACAAGTATTTAAAACTGAAACATTTTTTGTATTATGTATAAGGGATTTTAGCTGGATAGTAATGGAATGTTTGTTAATGTGAATCATGCTGTAACAGGATTTCTGTTACTGTATGTTGTTTGCCAGAATATTAATATTTTTCTTTCTTTAATAGTGAACTAAAAATTGGAGATGCAAAAGAAGAGTTGCTGGCAGTGGCAGTTGACAGGAAGAGAACACCACAAAGGAAGAATAATAAGTAAGTCTACAGCTAGGTATTATTAATACAAACGATAAAGTGAAACCTATGTATTATTTACCTCTAAGTAATGATGTGATGGTAATACTTTTTGCTTTCTGCATCTTTGTTACAAAAACTTTCTATTGTGAGATTCATGAATGATGAATGTATAAGAATTCCAACACCGAATATGACTAATTTAGCACATTAGTCATAAATTAATTTCTCAGAATAAAATTAAGGTGTAAGGGTTTGATATATCTTTGTTGTAATTGTTATGAATCAGAAGGTATAATATTGAATATTGAATATTTAAGTTTTATTCTTTCTTTTCTTTACAGAACAGTGTGTTCCAAATTAAATTAAAATGTTCTTTCAAAGCTTTAAGAGTTTATGAAGCTTCTTTTGGCCAAGTAGGATTTGAGGTTTTCATAGCGGGGAGTCCAAGGTGGCTGTCCTTTGGGTTGTAGCACATCTACCAGACTACATGGTGCTACAACCCAGAAGACAGCCATCTTATTTTTGCTGTTTTAATGTATATATTTACTATATTGAACGGTAAGCAGATCAGCTATTATAGATTCTGTTTATTCTTATTTTATTTAATTACTTTTTCAATAGATCAGATTATATAGTGTTGAATGATTGGATGATCAATGAATTGTTACAGATGTTGAAGGAAGCATTTGTGACCTAATTTAAGGAACTAGCCTGGCATTTGTCTGATGGAACTGAGGAAAACCACAGAAACCTCAGCCAGGATAGCTGGTCTCCAGGGGAAAATTTATACCTCGGTCTTCACTCTTGCAGATCTTCTAATGTATTGCTGGTAGTTAAGACAGTTTGGGGAGGGTTGAATTTTGAATTGTTCAAAGTTGGGTATTTGCTCATTTTGGGGACTAGCCAGACTTTCACTTGACTGGGAGAGAATGACTAGTGTAAGAAGTCTTCATTCATTAGTTGTATTCTCAAAATCATAATAAGTATTTTCCATGTTCTTGTGTGGATGTTAATGTGAGGATTTGCATGTGTATTTGAGTGTATGCGAACTAAATTCCTAAATTAAATTCAGGCTTGATAGTTTGCAATTCATTACTCTGATTGTAGTTATTGAATGTACAGTCCACTCCAATGATATTATCATTGCGGAGATAACATTTTGTGATAGTAGCAACCCAAATCATTCATTAATGCAATATAGGCAGTATGACATCAGTGTCTTGGAAAAAATTTCTTTGTACAGGATTTCTCTTCCATCTCGTCCCAAGTCGTTAAGGCTTCAGCAGAAAACTCCATCCGGGGATCCATTGCCAACAAAGAGTGAACCTGTAATTACTGCAAAATCTGCAGTTGATAGTGTGATTTTAAGAAAACCGTCAGGTATGGTTTTCGGAAATAGCTGTTTCACACTTTGAAGGAATTTCTGTTATTTGTAGGTCATATGAATCATTAATGATCTTTCTAATTCTTTATTTTAGGGTCTCTTTCTATGAAATCTGTATCAGGAAACAAATTTGAAGAAGAATTATTGAAAAAAATTGTGAGGAGTTGTAAAGTAGTCCTGAAAGATGAAGTTTCTTCACTACAGACAAAATCTGGCTGTGACCTAAAAATGTAAGTGCTATGTATTTTTTGTGGAAATGTTAAGAATTAGTTAACCCCTCCATCTGTCTTGGCAGTTGTATGTAATTTGCAGTTACGATTATCATTTGACCAGTATAAGTAAAAGAAAACATATTCAAATGTACCTTTCTGTTCAGAAAGTATACATATCTGACTCTAGTGCAGAGTCCTTCTTGAGAAGTAATTTAGCTGGCCAAGATATTACGAGGTGCGATCGGAAAGTTTCGAGACTGTGTCAATAGAGGGCGAACCGGATGTAGTACGAGCTTCTGCCGCTAGGGGGTGCGGCCTACATTCATAGTGAATCAGTGTGCCAGCCGGCATCATCGAATTAGTATTTGTTTCTTAGTTACGGGCGTTTTGGTAGTGCATTACACCGACCCTTCTGCGATTTCGGAATGGCGTGTGCATCAAATTTTGCCAAAGACTCGCCAAAACGGCTACGGAAACCTATGAAATGCTAAAGCAAGCATTTGGGGAGTCCACAATGGGTCGTGCACAAACTTTTGTGTGGCATTCACGTTTTAAAAATGGCCGAACCTCTGTCGATGATGACGAGCGTTCTGGACGACCGTCTTTGAGCACAACGCCCGAAAATGTTACGAAGATTCGGCAGGCCATTCACGAAGATCGACGTCGTACCATCAACGACTTGTGCGACATTGTTGGGATAGGCTATGGGACCTGTCAGCTGATTCTAAAGGAAGAACTCCACATGCGACGCATCATGACAACACGCCAGCGCACACCGCCCTCAAAGTTCTGCAGTTTTTGGCCTCAAACACCATGGCCGTCATCCTGCACCTTCCTTATTCGCCGGATTTAGCTCCGTGTAACTTCTTCCTCTTCCCAAAGATGAAAATTCAGCTAAAGGGAAGGAGATTTGAGACGATAGAAGAGATTCAGGCAAAATCGCAGATGGTGCTTGACAGGCTGGCAAAGAAAGATTTCCAGGGATGCTTCCAGGCTTGGCAGCGGCGCTGGGATCGTTGTGTTCACTTCCAGGGGAACTACTTCAAGGGTGATGGATGAATTTAATACCTGAGATAAATGTACGGGGTTTTATAGGCGCAGTCTGGAAAACTTCCGATCGCACCTCGTACCTGCTATGGAATCAGTTGAGTCCAGTGCATATATTCACACACTGTTCCTGTTAACATCCAGCTATTAACATCATGTGTACGCTTACGTCTCCTATGTTGTCTCTTCTTTTCAGGCTTTATGATAAAACGTTTTTATTCATTCCCATACCATCTATAAATATTGCATGCTTGATTTGTTTGATGTATTTGCACTTTTTTGTAGGTTAAGGAAAGAACTCGGCAAACTGGCCCTTCAAGTGGAGAGAATTGCAAAGGTAGTTCCTTATCGTATCTACTCTATGGCTGCTCATCCTGCTGAGAATAAATTACTGCTGGCTGTTGGAGATAAGTGGGGCAACGTTGGTAAGTTGACTAGGTCAATGGTAAAGTTGGTATATCTAAACATTTGCCTGTTGCGTATCCTGTTTGTCTTCTTCTTCTTCTATGGCTCTCCTGTTCGTATTCGGTCCATGGCCTCCTCAATTCCCCTCTTCCATTCGGTCCTTCTGTTAGGTCCGCCTGTCCGAGGTTGAGGTTTCAAAACATCTTCCTTTTTACGGTGCAAGGTTGTTAGCATTGCGACCAACCCCAAACCTGGAGGACCAGGGCACCTGTCTTAGTCTGACCTCTCCTCCTACCAGTAGCTCTTTGGGTCACTGAGGTACTCAAGCCCCACCATCACGACAAGGTGCAGGTATCATTAAGTGTATGTTACATAAGTTTCAAAATTCCACTTAAAACTCCATTATTGTTACATACCAGTAGCACATTTTACTGACTGATGTTGATTGGTGCAGCTACAGCATGGGGGGGGGATCACACATGTCATTCCTTGCCACTGCAAATGCATTTGAAACTCACCATTGTAACTGTTTCTGACTCTTGGTAGGAAATGAATTGGAATGTAGGTTTAATAGAATATTATGTCTTATTAATCTCTGAGTCTTTGTAATTCTGAAGATATATGTCTTCTGAGTTGTAGTGCCGTGTAGTCTACTGTATCAGAGGTACTTGTTACCTCCATCATCAGGATGATCATAACCCTGATGATGGAGGCAACAAGGACCTCAGAAATGTTGGTAAACGTCTAGCAGACAACATGGCACTACAGTCTAGATCAGTGGTATTCAACCTGGGGTACGCGTACCCCCGGGGGTACACGAAGACATCTTAGGGGGTATGTGAAATTTAACCTGTTGACGCGGAAGTTTAAATACCCAGCATATACCGCTGTTGTGCTGTTCCGGCGGTAGTATTTTTTAAATGCCCGTTTAAATTTTGCTGTAAAATACGTTTTTTTTCATAACTTTTGAACTATATGAGATATAATTATGAATTTTTCACTGAAATCCTCTTAAAAGATGGTTTTGTAATCTTACCTTA